TTAATTTACCCAGTGTAATGAAATTTTTCAAGTATTAACACCACTTACATAACTATAAAAATACTTGCATACTAACATCTGAAATGCATTGTAACTAATATCTGAAAAGTAAAAAAGAAGTATTTGTGTTCAAAATCATATTTCTAATATAGTAAAACAATATTATGTGCCTTTATTAAAAAAGAGAGAGAAAACTTACTGATGCAAGCTACTTAGTTACTGAATATTGCCATTGAATTACTATTTTTTTTAAATTTCATTATCAACATGACTTTCTTTGGTTAAAAAGTCTAGTTTATTCTTCTCTCCCATTGTCACCTCTAATATTTGCTACAAGTTTCCACTCACCACCTTGTCAATACATTCTTACAGACCCTAACAGACAGACCTTAATAAGGTACCTTACAACCAAGGGCTGATTCAATTGATCCTGGGGGGGGGGCTTTCAAACAAAAAATTTCCTCCTTCCCAATTCATAAACAGAATTCTTTTCTCAATGCATCAAAAATAACGTATAGCATGAACTTTGTTTTAGAGAAATATATGTTTATTTTTCATTTCTTTCAAAAGAAAAAAAAGGGGGCGGGCCAATTACTCCCTCCCTCCCCCCCACTTCTGGATGTCCCTTACAACTATGAAGGAGGGATTCACTAATAATTCGAAATTTGACTGATGAAAATCATTATTTTACACAAACCAATTTAAAAAGGTTAAGATTCAATAAAATAAAAAATCGCCCCAAAAAATACCCCACCGGGGTCACTTTTTTTAGCATCGAGAACTTCCTCAACCCCTGACTGCAATAGCTACATAAATATCCCTATAAAATAATTTTTAAAAAAAATTACCTATTCAATTTCTTCAAATAGCCCATTTTTCAAGATTTCTCCGGCCCTTCCATCCTGCCGTTCCAGGCCTCCTTCCAGCTGAGGTCTCCAGCCCGATGAAGAGCTCTTCACTGATGACATGTCGAGTGGAACACACCAAGAACTTCACAGCACCAGAGGATCATGAAGCCAACATCTGGAAGATCAACAGACAAAAATAGCTTCAATGCCATTCCCATGATAAGAACACATTTTCACCATGAAAAAACCAAACAAAAAGATGTTAGAGTTACTATTTTGATAGAAATTCTTATTTCAATTATGCCAAGAAATTGAAGGCCACTTAAGGCCACTGCTTTCTCCAGACAAACAATAAACACCGAAATGATACACTGCATTATATCTCACTTTGTGAACTTACTGTGTACATATTTCACATAACAATCATAACAGAGTTAAATGCATTAGGGTGATAAATGTTTTATAACAAAAAATTAACAAGAATGTCACAAATTAAAACTAGTCTTACTGCAGGAACACAATATTTTGAAGCAAATGTCATACATTTCGATTGAAGAGGACAATTACAGCATTGTGACTGTGGTCCACATTACTTTCATTGTAATTGGTGATAAAACTTTTTCAATAAGTATTTTGTGATTTTTGACAAAATGTGATATTACAGAATGACTGAACATGCCATATACAGAATACTATATACAAAAACAAACAAACAATTCATACAAATTATGCAGTTACAACTGCATCAAAATTGCAGAAAATTGTCCTTAAAATAAAATTTCATTCCATTTTTCGATTTCTACACATACAGAACTTGAAACTTAGAGAGCGAAGCGTCAAAGTAAGTTTCTGTCAATAACCCAGCTCTAATAGGTATATTCAAACCACAATTATAAATAATTTAAAAACCAAAATATATTAGCAAATATTCGTGTCACACCATTTGCAGAAGTAGACAAAAATAAATCATAATAAAATTAACAATTGCATATACACTTGGTATTTCTATAACTACAACAGATCAATTTTTCCAGAACAAAAAATAAAGTGATTAACACTACATTTTTGTAAAGTTGCAGTCTGCCTAACGATTCGCTCATCTAACAACGTATTTTAGGGATATGAGCCAAAAATAACGGGGAAACTTCAATTTCCACCATGTTGCTGCGCTTCATTCATTGTCATTCTTGTAACGTAACCCGCACTAATTCAACAACATTTTTGAAATATTATATTCGAAAAAATGATTCTCGATCAATTGAATTCCAAATGAAAAAACTTACCAATTACAGGAATCCGAGATTGGCTCCACAAAAATTCCACGCGAGTGGGACAATGGTCTCTTTGACCATACAGCGTGTTCCACGCCTCTTCCGATACCTTGCAGTTCTCCTTTTAAAATGCTACGAAATTTGGTATTTAAAATCCCACCTTGCAAGGAGCCATGTTCTCGTAGCAATCAATGTGTGTTTTTGTTTGAGCGTTTTCTTGCTTGTTAGCCAACACCTGAATACGAAAAATACGCCGCGCCAAGGGCAGGTTGTTTCTCATGCGCCAATACAAAACACAGTATTATTCGAGGTCAATGAAACATCACTCCAGCGCTGTAATTTCTGCGCACTCCACCAAAAAAATAATTCCCAGATTTTAACCATCAATGCACGTTAACATGTGTGAAATTACGTTTCCAAAAACACTTTAAAAACACACGAACGTAAAAACTTACGCATTAACAGACGGAAATGTTCGAGCAAAAAAAATCAATAATTCACTAACAAACTTAATTTAGTCTTTTAAAACTCATCAAATATCATCAAAAGCTTTTCACTAACTTCGTGACACAGCATTCTGATCCGCTTTAATTAACAGGACTACTTGTTTCTTTGCATGTAGTTGGAATTTTTGAACCACACGACGGAACTGATATACGCATCTACAACCATCTTGGAAAAGGTCATGGTGTGTAATGGCTCCGAGAAAACGTTGTAAAACAACTTTCCACGCATGCGCTGGACAACTACCCGCTACGAGAGCGCACGGCTATCACTGGACTACTTCCTGTGAAATAGTAAACGTCAGCATCGTATTAATGGAACGTGTCGTAGAACGAGTAAAAAAAATCAATGACTGACTATTTTGGTCATAAATTATAAACAGTTATATATTACAAACTTTTACTATCAATTGTAAAAATTAAAGTTGAATCCCCTTAAATCTGGAGTCGTATTTCCCGGTGAAAAACTCGAGAGTCATGAATGAAATACTTCAAGGCTTTGCAAAAATGGCCTACTCGTATTTACTATTGACGTGCCATTGATATCTCCATTCCAGTATAGGAAGAGGCCTTATCAGCCTTTTTGTCGAACCAATCACGTTGCACAGAAACAATAATATTTGAGGTTCAGCAAATTAATCATCATCTAAACATCAATTTGACAAAAAACTTAATGGAAATGGGGAAAACAAAAAGTCTCAAGAAATACACGAAAAAAACAACGTAGTAAATAATTTTAAAAAATGTACATTAAATCCACAGAATAAATAAATAACAAAGATTTATAATATTTGTAAAATTTATTGTTTTTAAAAAACCTCATGTCTCATACATTTGTTTCTTGAATTCATATAATTTATGAATTTTTTTTTCTTTCTTCCCTCTCTTTTCTTTTTTTAATTTTGTTCTTTTTGATTTTTTTTCTTTCTTTTTCCCTTTTTTGTATTTTCCTTTTTCTTCCAAATCATTACTAACAATTTGAGACATTGCAGGAAGTAACATAAAATTAATCATTAATATTTCCCTCAGCAATTTTAGAAAAACAGTTTTTTAGGAGGACATAAAAGAACAAAGTTAATTTTGATGTGATTTAAAAAACGATAGAAAAAATGAGGAAAAAGGGAGTGCAAGATTAATATTATATAATTTTTAATATTAATTGGATACATTTTATCCTATTCTTTGAGTAGTTGATTTTAATATTTCATAAAAACAACAAAATTTTCTAAGTTGTTTTAAGTATATTGTGCTAC